GTAAGTCATTTTTGACAAAATACTACTGATTCATACATGAAGAGACAAGGTAATGGTAAAATACCTAGATGAATAAAGAGATGCTTACAAGAATCACGTTGGTGGGATTTGCTTATTATTCGTACAATTGTTTTTGTAATATAAAAGTCTGGAAGCTATAAGATGTATTTCCCCAGAATACAATGCCATACCTCAGGCGGGAATGAACATTCACGAAATATAAACAACGAGCAGTATGAAGGCTGATTGAATTTGAAAGAATTCTGAAAGTGTAGCATACAGAACTTAATTTAGTGTACAATTAATTTAAACGGACGTTCCATTTAAGGTTTGACTGAATTGAAAAACCTAAAAATTTTACCTTAACATCAGTCAATAGCACACCGTTCATTTTCAATGCTGTTTATTTGAAATGGAAAGCTGCATTCAAACCGTTTTCTTTTCATTCACTATTAATTTTTTATTACAGAACCAATTTGAAATATCTGATATTGAACTATTTACGGTTTCTTTATCGCATAGAATATTCGTATTATTAGCAAAGAGAACTGTTCTTCCGTTTCTGATCGTTGACAGCATATCGTTTACGTACAGTAGGAACAGAATAGGGCCTACATTCGATCCCTGCGGAACTTCACAGAAATTAGCAATGAATCGGAAAGGTGTGTACGTAATGTTCCATTATCCCAGTGCGGGATGTCTACTCTCTGAGATCGTTTTTTTAGAGGCGGCTCCACGCACATTCGGCGAATCCCGAGCAACCGCCCCCGGGTTGGGCGGGTTGTTGGGATTCGCCGAGCGCCGAACATTCATTATTCGTCTAACCCACCGCGTGTCTGTCTTTAGGGCACATCAGCTGTTCGGTATTGGACAAGCTGCTCGGCGAATGTGTGGAGCCGCCTTAAGGTACGAACATAACCAATCTAGAGTAATACCAGCGGTAAGTCGATTTTTTGCAGTACTTTACATGAAAACGCAACAATATTTTCGACATTTTCTCAAAAATGGCTTCAGTTATTTTTTTATGAAATATTGTCCTTGGATTGCAAGCTCTTGAAAGAACGGTGAAGGTCTCGTTTTCGTTGAAGTTCCTGATTTTTCAAGAATTGCCAAAGTTCGACATTTTTTCGGCGACTTTCTACAACTACAATATTGAAGATATATAATAAGATAAGAAATTTTTCTTCAAAAAATCTTGTTAAAAGACAGATCTTGAAATGAGCTCAAGTACAATTTTCAGAAAATGTGAGTAATTTTCACGTAATTTTGCGCGAAATATAAGCAATTCCGAAACAATTTTTTTCTCAAAAACTACTCCATTTTTTCCTCGTACGTAGCAAAGGAAGGGGAAAACCTGATGCTGGTCGCATTTTTGAAACTGCACCTCGCAAAATCAAACTTTCTGTATTTTCAAAAATTGCAAAAGAAATAACTCTGCAAGAGTAGTGTTGATGGTAGAGATCTTTGTGTTAATTGAAATCATTTCTAAAAACTAAATCTTTAAGTAAGGTTATATACATAAAAAAACCATTAGTTTTCATGTCATTTCTTATTAAACTTACAGCAACTTTTAAAAAACAATTCTGAAAAAAAGCCCTAGATTTTTTCTTTATTTTTTTCTAAGACTGAGTAAGGAACGCTTAAAATGATGCAAGTATCATATTCGAACTTGTTAAGAAGATGGTTGCGTCTTCGTCGACTCAACGCACCTCTGAACTCTTGTTGGGTATTGAGCGCCTGACATAGAGTAATCCTCCATATTTTTTTCTCAAGACTCGTCACGTCGCAGTCAGTCGGTGCCTTTTATTCCTTCGGCCAGGGTCTCGGAGCCTTTATATCCCGGGTTCCCTAGACGTCTCCCAAATAGGAACCCGCGAAATCTTGAATTCGCTTAACCTCTATGGCTTCCTAGAGCGCAGATAAAGAATTTGGCTTGCGACGCCGACAATTGCTAATGTTCGAAAATTGCGAGAAAATATAACTTGTTTTAGCACTAGTTTCACTGCTTAGAGCAGTGGCAATCGTAGGCAGTCCTAGTGGGGCACGAGTATGTAAAAACTTTCGGACCCTTTTTCACTTTTGATTCTTAATTATGACAGTATATGTAAAAATGCTGAGTGGCACCAAATCTGGTCGAGCTTAGCTTGACACGCCAATTAAATATGACGAAAAATATCATAATTTTGATAGAAATACTCTTACACACTTTTTGATATCTCGAACCGTTTCTGAGTTACGGTGCACTGTTTGAATATGTGAAGTACAAAGTTGCTCTGGAGGTATAAAAATGGTCACAAATAGAAGCAAATTTTAGAAAAATACCCCGCAATTCCATCTCAAATTTTAATGTAATTCTGTACGCCGAGTCCCACATTTCTCAAAGGAACTTCTTTGGAGTTGTAGCTTTATTGGTGGAATGATTTTTGAGATATAACGGTTTGTTAGACTCCGTTTTACCGTACGACCATTAGATTTTCGCAACTTAGGGTAACAATACTTCATTCTCTTTCACCACGAAACAAAACTGAGCTCACTTGTACAATTTTATTGCTCTAAGCATTTGAACTAATTAGAATTTTCCATTTATTAATACCCAATGGGTAAATTTCAGCAAAATACAACCTCTACCTTTCTTGGTTCAACACTGAAGTCACTTATTTATTGGTAGTAATGCAGATACAAATTATATATCTTTATTTATCACAGAATGATGTGTGTGTGTGTGTGTGTGTGTGTGTGTGTGTGTATGTAAGAGGGGCCCATTGTCCGAATATGATGTCAGATGTCCTAAAAACGGTCCGGTATTCTTAAAACAAACATTCAGGAATCGCAATAATTTTGAAGAAATGCTAAGCACTGTAACTGAGCATGCTTATTCGTACGATGTAGATACAGATTTCCCCCCACAAACACGCAGGCGATAAAATAAAACTATGTTCTGTATTGAACATGGCGATGACAGTCCAAATGATCCAAAAGACAATATCCGTGTGGCGTATGAACCGCATTTCCGTACAAACAACTACTATCGACACTACAGTTTCATTTATAGACAAAAAATTTAAATTGCTTAAAAAGGAAAGTGATGCGTTTAATTTTGTATGTGACTTCAACAATCTGGCAGAAATTAGTAAATAAAAAATATTATCAAATGACTTGGCGAGAACAAATACTGCTATCCAGACTTCGCTCCAGACATACTAACATAACACATTCACACCTGTTCCACAAACTACCCGCGTCCCTCTGTGACGTATGTAAGATTGAACTGTGTCGAATATAGTGAACGATTGTCCTAAGATTCAGGAAGAAAAAGAACACCTTCCATCAGAGCAACAATTCGAAGAAATCATTCATTCCAACTCCTACCAACAGGATATTATATTTTACCAGAATACTAATATTTTTAATAGAATGTAAGTGAATTCCTGTGTATGCTATCATACTAAGATTGGGTGCCAAGTAATGAATTATTAAAATAATCTCAATGCCATTGTAAACACTGTACTGTATATTTAATCAATGTTAAGTCAAATATTGAATATGTAAAATATTGAAAAGTCGCTAAGAAAAATTATTAATTAAAAAATTACTTAAAAATTATTAGTCTCAAAACTTCCTACGATCAACCATGTCACAAGAAGTATTAACAAATATGACAATGATAACAGTCGAAAGTGAAAATTGCAACAATATTTGTTTAGTGTCATAAAAAAATTGGCACCTTCGAAAAATGCCTTATTTTATTTTGTACATAGATGATTTTCATTATTTAATATATCTACAATAACTCTTCAGTAAATACCAATTTAAACCACAAAACTCTTCTACTATTAAAAGTAGGTATTTAAAGTATTCCTTTTGAAAGCGGCGAATTAGACTTGCAGCAGGGCGGCATACCAGTGCGTGACGGCCCTAGTAGTGTGTTGGGCCAACTTACAGTGATTCTAGACCTCAAAACGTTGGTTCAAGTGTGACACAGTTGTTTAATTGGAAAGTTCTTCGGTCCTTTTTTTTGACGCTCATTACGAATATGGAGTTGGAAATTTCAAGAATTAAAATTACGGATCAAATTTGGCAGAAAAGTAAATAAAACATAAAATGCAAATTTCTTATCAAAATCGGTAATGTAAGCAAATTTTGACAATGGTTATGAGAATGAAAGCAATATAATGGTTTTTATGAATAAATTGTAGAAATTACACATAATATCATGAAAAAGTCATTACTTAACGGCTTAAAAAAAACTCCTGTATTAAAACACGTGCCAGCAGTGTGATACAGCGAGATGCAGCAACTTATTTGTACATGAGTTTGAAAGGAAATATGTAGTATATACAAGAAAATTGCAAATTTGATCGTAGTATTATTAACACACATTTTTAAAAAGAATGTCTTATTCATTTTTTCACTTCAGTAATTAACATAATATTCAGGATTCACTCGGACTAAATCTTTTATTTTAACTCTTGTTATATTTTTACAAAAACATTGTCAAATATGTTAACAACCAGGTGATATTTTTCGCTGCCATAATAGAACACAGTTGCACGTGGTTAGCTTTCGAAGTGGGCTCTGAAACTGAATATAAAAGAGGTGTCCCTCTCATTTTAATTCTATGATAATATGGGTAAACTATTGTGAACATAAACATTTATAAACAGGATTTTTATTTCATTTTGGTTAGATTTTCGGGGTCAGGAATTACTGTCTTGCTCACATAGATGTTGTCTTCCCAAAATTCGGAGCACTACTGAAAAATCGGGTTGTTGGTCGGACCAATGTGTAGCCGAGAGTCCAATTTCGTTGTCCCGACGGTCAGTCCGACAAATTGGTCCCAGTGTAGAGGCCTTATGGATACATTTAATATGTTCTCTTCTCAATGTTAGTTAATACGTAGTATGGCGAGGAAGTAAAAAGGAGGCAAACATTTGTATATTACCATGCATTCGAATTGCCGCGCAAAGCATTCAACTACCGTGTTGCTCCTTTTCCATCCGGCATTATATTTTCTCTCTGGTAAAGGAAGTCACTTAAGTATACTTAAAAGCACGTGTTCGTGTGTGTTGCTACGTGAAGGTGTTTGGAAATTGGATTTATGTGAGTACTAATTAAGTTCAGTCACATTCCTAATCGTTAAAAGAAGTTTTTATTTCAGTTCGTCTATGTGAATACTTTTCAGCCTTAAACTAATGTTTTCTCTTTGATTATGAATACCACGTGTGTGAAACATATTAATAATGCGTGTATGCAGAACAAGTTCAAATGATACGATTTTGTACAAGATAGGACTAAATGTTCGTGTGTGAAGAACTAATGAGAACATCGTTTTTTCGGAGGGTGTTAACCTGTAAATATTCATTTCATTTGTTTAAAGTGTGCAAAATGAACTCTCACACAGTGAAGGACCCAACACAGTTCCTACCCCCTTCTGAAGTAAGGGGAATGAAATCATTAGATAAAGAGAAGTTCAACAAATTTATTATTGTGCCATGGTTGGAAATAGATGAACAGCTTGTTGGTGGTGCTATGAGTATTCTTAAGAAGTATCTGATGAAGGTTTTGAATATCAAACCTCTACGGCCTGCATTTGAACTTCTTGATGGAGAGGAGATTGTCAGCCCCCCTGTGGATTCAGTTTTGGTAGGTTCACCAAAGCGAGTTTTCCTTAATCCAATTCTGTTAGGAGATGCTGATGATATTGCTGAAGAAGACAGACACAAGTTAGAGGCACTTGGCATTAATCCAAAATTACAATTCAGCAAAATAAATATTGGTTATGATAATTTTAGGGCAGATGACATTTTAAAGGCTGTGCTTCCAGAGGAAAATCCCTTGACTAGCTACTCTTTAATTGGTCATATTGTTCATGTGAATCTTCGTGAGAATCAACTGCCTTTCAAAGAAATTATCGGAAAAGTTTTATTAGACAAAGTGACTGGAGCGAAAACGGTTGTTAATAAAACTGATATTATTGACACCACTTACAGAAACTTCAAGATGGAATTGTTGGCTGGTATTGAAAATATGGTGACTCGCACAAGGGAACATGGGTGTCTGTATGAACTTGATTTTTCAACAGTGTATTGGAATCCTCGCTTGTGCACAGAACACGAAAGAATTACTTCAAAATTAGAAAGTGGGTGTGTTCTTTATGATGTGTTTGCTGGAGTTGGGCCGTTTTCTATTCCTGCAGGGAAAAAAAAGTGTAACGTGTTGGCTAATGATTTGAACCCTGAATCATATAAATGGTTGAATGTTAATTGCAGACTTAATAAAGTCCAGCAGTTTGTGAAAACTTTCAATAAAGATGGTCGAAAATTCATAAAAGAGGATATAAAGAAAGATATTGTAGAAAAATTGAAAAATAGTAAGTTCAAAGCTTCGATTCATATCACAATGAATTTACCTGCTTCAGCTGTTACCTTTTTGTCTGCTTTTCATGGTTTGTTATGTGATATTGATGAATTAAGTTGGAAAACATGTCCTATAGTTCATGTTTACTGTTTTGTTGGTGGAGAAAACCCTAAAGTTGATGCACAGACATTGGTAGAGGAAAATTTAGGAAGTCAATTGGATGAAAATTTGATAGAAGTTTTTTATGTTCGGAATGTTGCACCAAATAAAGAGATGATGAGGGTGTCATTTAAATTGTCAAATGCTGTTCTGACTGCTCGAAATAATTCTTGTGAAAAGCACTCTGCACCAGAAGTAAACGAAGAAGCACCTAGTCATAAAAGAATTTGTTTGTCAAGCGAAAATAAGTAATTATTTATGCTGGAAGGATAGGAAGTGTAAAATACTTATTATTTTCACCCAGCAGATTCAAATTTGCGAGTGTTATCTTTGTTTTTAGTTCTTTTATTTTTGTTGTTCACTTTGTACTAAAAGATGTTCAGGAGAGTGACAGATTTGTCTCTGTTATAAAATTCTACATATAATTTGAAGTATTTTAGAATTTTCATTTTCTAAAGACCATTTTGATATCCATACTTCATAATTTTATGTATTTACATGCTCAGATTTCTTGTGTTTTCTGTATTATGATATAGTATACATGTTTTGTAACAATCATATCTTTATAATATGTCTTTATGAGGAATTGCTCATAATCATTGTTTTAACAGTTATGTTATTTTAAGTGTGAACTATGGTGTTGCAGCCATTAAAATCAAAACATGCTGATAGATGACATATTTTGTTAAGAAGACATGTTCATATTTAAATACATTACATCTTGCTGACAGAATCATTTTCTCTTCTTGTGCAGAAGATATATCAGCCATACCTCCTGTTCCCAAGTTTGATTCCTTTTTAAAATAATCTGTTTTTATTGTTTTTCTTTTGAGGTGCCTTTAGGCTTCTTTTAGGTATTCATACTACTCTTTGTTTTTGTTTTAAAGTTACTGCATTTCCATGTTGTAACAGAAGTTTTGTGGAGACTGTGTGAATACTAATAAAATACTCAGATTCATCCTCCAAGTGACAGTACTGTTAGGAAAATAATCAGTCTATTTTTAATGTGCCATATACATATACAAACGCATATGCCATAAAATCAAGGATTATTTGGAAAATGGTCTAAATTTGATAAATTCACATATTTCAATATTTTTTCAAATGGTATTGATAATTATTGTAATGGTGAATTAACAACCTATCAAAAAGTAGTGGAAGTGCAGGCCTTATTCATATGGCTTGTAATGTTACAAAAAATTGTATTCAAAAGTATACACTGGGAATGTTAAACCATATTCCAAATTAAGAATAAAATATTTGATGCTAAGAACACAGTTGAATTCTTAACAGGTTTTAAGAAGAATTGAACATTTCACAACATACATTATTTAAAAAGTTAGTTTGAACAATCAATATTTATTAACACACAAAAAAAAAACCTACCTATTTTACAACACGTTTTGGTCAAGAATTGTGACCTTTTACAAGGTTTTGTATTTGTTGAGCATTAAATGAAAAAATATTACCCCCCAAAAAATCCATATGGACGTAGTAATTTTGGTTGAGTGGACTGATTATGGATAGGGATGTTTTTATGAAATGTTTCAATATTTGACATTTAATGGATAATGAATTTTTTACTTTTTCAGTAAAAAAAAAGTTCATAAATTCATTATTGAAATATTGTTACATAAAATGTTGTGATGTAAAATGTGTGTTATTTCTGTCTGTTAATACACATTGTTCACTCTGAATAATTGTTTTAGATTCAATAACAAACTTAGATTCTACTTCGATTTTTTTAAAAGTGGCCGATGACATTAATTCATTACACCTCCTGCCGTATAAATTGAACCTTGTTAACAGTGGTAAGCACATTTTTGGAGCCAAACTCCTGTTGAGAAGGACTTTCGCGAATTAATTAAAAAGATTAATTTTTTAAGGTGGGTGTAACAATCACCTAAAGTCATCGACTACTTTAAAAAATTAAAGTATACAATATTTAATTTTATGTCACTATGAATTTCTGTGTATAAAATCTTAATATATAATCTGAATAATGTTTGAACAAAATCCATTGCTATGCAACAATGAAATATTTTCCTTAAATACATCAGCTTGTACAATCTTAAATAATACTTAAAAATAAATATTACACAAGGAAATTCTACACTTGTAGAACATGGTATTTAAGATAATTTCAATTTGTGAAAGTTGTTTCGTTTTTTAATGTAACAATTCTTAAAACATTAAAACAAAGAGTCTCACTTTTAGGTTTTTTATATATCAATTTTAAGTTTTCAGAATGGCGAAATGGGATTTTAGTAATTGAATGATGTACGGGCGGGTAATTTCATTATTACGGTGCTCACAGTTATATTCAAATATAATGTCCATGTATTTTCCAGAAAGCTCTATTCATGCTGAAAATGCCTTTTTTAAAGTTTTTATTTTTATTTTTTAGTTACATTAAGAATGAATGGATACATTAGGAGTAATACAATTTGTTATTGTTCAGAGTAGTGTGTGTAACTGTCAATTATAATTTATTGTAATGGTGCAAATCTCATTTTCGTTAAAATCCCTGATTTTTTTAAAATTGCTTAAGCTCAATTTTTTTTTCAGTGCCTTCCAATAACTACAATAATGAAGATATAGATTTTTTCCCTGAATAAAATCCTGTTTAAAGACATTTTGGAATAACATGTACAACTTCGAAAATTTGATTAGATTTTGGGTGAAATATAGACAGTTTTTAAACATGTTTTTCTCAAACACTGCTCCAAATGTTTTCCTCGTATGTATCAAAGGTAAATGTGGAGCTAGTCTCACTTCCGGCAAACTATGTTTTCGAAAATTGCACAAAGGTAACATTCCAAAAATACAAATTTGAAGTAATAGTTTTGTCTTATCTGTTTAAAAACTTTAAAAAAGGTCTTCTCCAACTTTTTTTGAAAAAATGGGTAGTTTTTGCTTGAAGTAATACAGATGATTAAAAATCAACATTCTATCAAAAAACTCCCTCTTTTTTCACGCATAAAACAAGAAACACTTAAAGGCGCCGGTCTAATTTTTTGTTGTATTATATGAATTTTCGAAAATGAAGTAATGCGAGAAGATATGTGCTGTTGGAGAACCACTAGTTTCTTTAATTTTCTTGTGAAAAAATGTGAAATGCAATTACAAAGACGGCGTGGTCCGATTTTCACTGACTGAATTGTAGAAAATTACAAGTTTGTTATTTTTTCGGTGACTCCGTACAACTACTATATTGAAGATACAGAATTGTTCCTCAAATGAAATTTGTTCTCCACATTTAGTTCTATGATTAATGTCATGAACCTTTTAAAAAATATTACTAATCGCGTAATTTTCAATGAAATGTGGGCAAAATTAAAAACAAGATTTTCTCTAAAACGGCTCCAATTCTTTTCTTTAAACCTTTTTTTGTACGGCAAGACATTTTGATGTACTGGTATTTTGGTTTTGAAAAATTACTCCAATGTTTTGTTTTTTATTTCTCTCGTCGTTTGTATTTACATTACGAACATGCTTTTGTACATTATTGTATTTTACTTCAGATGCATTGGGCGCGTTATAGGTATTTGGAGAGGATTCTTCGGAAAATTTGTGGAAGTCTAGGCCGTTGCCGCCGGTGGGTTTAACGCGTAATTGGACACTTGCTGTATTTGTAAGGGACTCTACGCGGGGAAGAGTAGGTAGGTATGTGGAAACGCTTTTAGGTAATGTTTGCATATATAATATTTATTTACAAGAACTGGGCAAATTTAGCTTTGTGGAGTTGACTTTTTGATGATATTATAGTGCTCTTTGAGGAATTTGACTTTGTTCTTTCGAAACTACAAGTGTCCAAATTAAAATGTTTATGTGAGACTATTGTCGATGTGAAGGGAATATCGTCTCAAGTTACTTTTACAGGGTTGCAAGTGCTTCAGATGATAAATCTTGAACCCAAAAGTTTATTGTGAAAACGAGCTCAAAAAGTGCACATTTCCCGAAACTTTCAAACTATATTTTCTGAATAACGGCTCCAAATAATTCAATGAGAATTTGCTTATACTGCCAGGTTTTCACTGTCACAGTGTTCTCTAAGTCACATTTAAATCATATTATCAGTGGTCCGAAAATGTTGGGGAACAAAATGCATTTTAGGCGTCGATAGTGGCAAAAGTGAATAACTAGCCTAGTCGAAAATTAATAGAGTTCGTGCCATACTATAGTACATCTAGGAACTTTGTCGTATACGGACATGTATACGGAGTAATATTTACTTTATGGAGAAAATTGGTATGCAATGCTGTGGAAAATCGATTGCAAGATTTTAACGGACGTGTGTTGGGATTCCCTGATACCGGTTTTGGCCCGATTAAAAACCCTACGATTTGGAAAAGGATGAAAATAATGGGGGTACTTCACATAAAGATCCTGTTTTCGAAAATTGTATACTTTTTTTCCTGTATGTAGTAAATTACACTTTCGTTGAACATTTTGTGTAGTCATAATTCCCTTTTTGTGAATCCTTGATAGAGAAAAAATGGTTGACAGTAAAACGTCCTGATGGTAAAGCGTTCAGTCTATTTTCTCCAAAATTGGTATTTCCTAATTGATCTGGTCGAGGCCCGTACGATTTCAAACGGAACTTTTGATTTTAGGGGTTACTTTATAACCTTTACATTTCCTTCCTACATAGCCATAAAAATATTTCCATTTCTAAAAAATTGCTTCACATTATTTAAATTTAATTTGTCCTCATATAGAGCAAAGGACGTTGAGAAAAAGGTGTAGGTCTCGTTTTCGTTGAAGACTGAATTTTCGCAAAATGCAAAATTTCAGAATTTTTTGGCGTCTCCCTACAATTACAGTATTGAAGATTTCCTCGTAAATTCCGATGAAAAATGTTGAAGGAAATATTGGTAGACGTTTTAAAAAAATATAATTGTTTAAAAATGATCTGCATTTCTCGCAAAACTCGCGTAGAACATTTTTCATATTTTCGAAAGATGATTTTATGAAGGGAAAAATGCCTCTCTCTCCAATATAGTAGTTCTAGGAAGATGCGGAAAAAATTCTCCTACACTAGCCTCCAGTAATTTACGGAGAAATTTTCGAAGAAACATAATATTTCACATTTTAAATATTGAAATAATTGCACTATCGTGAATCAATATGTAACATTTTGATTTTAAAAAAAATTGTGGTTGTCCATACCTAGCGGAGGCCCCTGAACAGCTACTTAGCCTGCTTATGCTAATGTTGCTGCTTAGTCTGCTAATTTTATCGTGCTCTTGATGAAAATTAATCATATGGCCTAGCGGAGGCTGCTTGTGACTAAAACTGTGGGAGGGCTGCAATTACAATTCGACACACGTTTTGAAATAAAAAGTTGAAAAGCTTTTGTTACTTCTGGACGGAAAACAAATTCTATGCGTTGCCCTTTTTGCCACAGACGCAGTGGCGGTTGATACTTTTAATTAAGGGGCGGAGCTGAATGCAAAAGTAGAAATTTAATTCAGTTATGTTCAGTACTATGATACAATAAATAAAGATGACTGGTATCAACGATTTTTTATTAAGCTTATGATCGTTTCGATCTCATAGCGATCATCCTCAGAGCTAAAATTTGAAATACAATATTGATACCAGACACCATCTTTATTTATCGTAATAATAGAAGGTATCTACCTCACCAGCGATCTAATTAATGTTCAGTACTTTTTATGTCGCACTTCCCTTGACGAATTAAGCTTCTAAATTTCACAGTTTTTAAATATTGAACAGAATTACTATTCGTATCCATTCATAACACGAACTAGTGGTGCTAAACAGCACACACTTTCTCGTCCGTATTTTCACGCAAACTTACGCGAAAAGTACTCAAATTTTAGAAAAATTGTACGCGACCTTATTTCAAAATCTATCTTTACGGAAGAGATTTCAGTGAAGAAAAAATCTCTATTATCAATATTTTAGACTCAGGAAGGCTCCGAAAAAGTTTTGCACCTTGGGACTACTGTTCTACTATTTAATATTGATTTTTTTGGTATTTGCAGAATTAGATGTATATGGACTCTTGAATTTGAAACTTGCCATGAGTACAAGTTTTCAAAAGGGTCAAGAGTGATAAAATTATTGTGGGTTTTACTGGAGACAATAGTAATTTTCAAAAATGAATATTAAGAGCTGTTTGCGTTCTTACCCGTGATATTTCATAAAAAGAAAATTGTTCTTAAAATTCCTGAACTTTTGAAAGACTTTGTCTCTTTAATATTACCTTGTAAGAATATTTGTATAAAGTCAATATTCTCATTTTCAGAGAAACAATGGGCAAGAAAAATAACTCGAATACAAAAAAAGTTTTCAAGGTAGCTGGATCCAAAGCCCTCAAAGCCAAGAAGAAAGCAAAAGCAGTTCAAGGTCAGCTGAAAAAGGTAAACGATCCATCATTACATACTTTATTAGCTGACTTTTATGGATCCTTTAACTTTGAGGTTTTTAATTCACAAATAAACTTGTTGCCAGTCCAAAATTGAACTCCTATGCACCTCTTTTTCGGAGTAGCATTGTGTCACTGCCACAATCTTCATAAGCATTTTTTTATTCAGTAGGATTTTTTTAACAGGTAGCTACGTAAAGAGAACATTGTTAAGACAAATTAAAGGAAAAGTCATTCCACGTCAAATCGAACACCTTTGCACCTTACATGTTCGAAATTGATTGAAACTTCTTGAACGTGTTTTGTGGGATAATTGAAGATTTTTTGTTAGAATTTAATGTAATTATTTTCGAATTTATGCCGCATGTAAGTTTCTGAAAAGCTTGTGCAATAACAAATGAAAATGCTTTTTTCCCTGCTGCATTAATCGTATAGAATTGAGATTAGTCTAAAATAAAAGTTTAAACAGTTATTTCACACTATTTATGCTTGGGTTAAAACCCTATACGTATAAACCGCGAGTGTGTCTGTTCCTGTGTGCTTACGTGTGTGTGTATGCATGCCTGTGCGTGCGTGCGGATCCGTCACTTACGGTTAGATTACTTGCCGTGCACCACTTTGACTTATGAGGTGGCATTCGACCCGTCTCGGTCTCCTGGTGGGGTATTTGTAATTTGTTTTCTGATCCGGTTAGAATATTCTAAGAAATTTCCAAAAAACGTGTTTTAGCGCTGCTAACTTCATGGGTAAACGGAGAATTAAACCAACGCCACCTAAATAGATGTAGGTGGAGTTGATTAAACCCAACGAGCTAGAATCACTGATCTCTATATATACTTCTGGATAGGCCTTAGCCTATCGAAAAGTGAAGCCTATTTCAGCGCCGCGGCGGCCATGATGGGGTCTTAAGCTAATTTCCAATATGGCGTCCCCTGAATTTTAACATTCATTCGACGTATGGATAAAGAAGACTCAAATGTTGTTTGCGCTTTTTAATGAGTATTTTTAAATGAATATAAATAAATAAATGTTTTGAAAAGAGAATGTTGATTTTATATATCAAAATTTAATATGCGTACACTTTTTTTGACTAATAGAGATTCCAGAGTTCAAGAAAACATGCACAAATTAAACATATTCTCCATTCGATACAGTTTCTATTGTGTTTTGGCACCCCACACGATAGTTTCTACTGTTATCATGTCACCGAGTATTTTGACTCGTGTCAAACTCAATTGGGATGAATGAGGAACATTAATTCGCACTAATTTTTCAAACATTGGCTGACATGTGTTGAGGCTGAGGTATTCTTCATTAGTTTGTCATATTAGCGCCTCTCATAGCCACTCTCCAATTTGTTCAGTTCATAATATGGCTTCTACGTGCTATTTTCAACTCTTCATGATGATAAATATTGTATGTATACACTCCTGTACACTAAGAATGTTTTAGTTAGTGTTCAGAGAGCTTTTGATTTGCTCTTTTAGACTAATTTCCATTATTTATAATTTTTTTTAAATCAATTGATTAAATAAGATTTTTTGTAATTCCAGGTTGCTGAAATGAACCGAAAGAAAATTGCCCAAGTTGATAAGCAACTTTCTGACATTCATGATGAACTTCGCCATGGCTCCAGAAAAGAAACTAATAAAATTAAAAAAGTGGTCCAGAATAAGAAACCAAACACCTCTAATATAGAAATATCTGCAATGGATAAATTAGACCAGCTCAAAATGTAGAAGATATTGATACATTTAATTAAATTATTATCTTGTTATATAGTATGGTTAAAAGGTAAGGACACATGAGGCAGATGCAAATGGATACTGGTGATCCCATGTCATTTAACATAAAATCTATATTTGTGAAGTTTGTGGATTTAATTATCATGAATGATTTATTATATTTCTTATTAAAAGTACAAGTTTTCTTATTAAAAGTACGGTTTTATTTATTTCTGCATACATTCTTAAGACTTCTTATTTACCAACTACAAAATCCAATTGTTGTTGGTGTACCTTGGATTTACCAATGAAAACTCATAATTTTCATTGGGGAAATGTGGTGTTAATTATTTGATATGTCAAGTTGAAATCATTTTGTGAAGATAAATGCACACACTTAATTCACAAAATATTCAATATTATTAATGTAAAAAGCTGTATTACAACAATCATTGGTATGACAATTACAATTTATTATAACAATTCTGTTTATGAAATTATCATTAGTAGCTTTTAATAATACATCTGCAATTCCTCCAATCCACTATCTATATTTAAAAAATATCACTTTTCTTGATTTCTCTAGAGGCGTGATTCAGTGGCAAGGTTTGGGGGGGCAACTGCAATGGAAAAATGTTTCTTATGTCTCTGCAACAGATTACCCTAGGAGGCTGATTTTTTGGGAATTACGGCATTTTTTCATTATCTTTCATATGAGTATCGCGATTATCGATTTGGTTGGGAAGCACTTTTCATCCCCTCATTCGTTTATATCGTCAATGATACACAATTTTTCTTTCATGTAAAGCATGAGAAATAGTTCTATCCAAACCCAACCAATTCAAACGAAGCGCTAGTCGTGCATACCTGCGTTTATTTCGACAGCCAGGAACATTAGCAATTTCTAACGTTTACAAATGAAACATACCACAATCAGCTGTGAAAATTCCTAAAAGTAGGGTAAAATGCTCAGTAGTTATAACAATATGACACTAGTTGGCACTGTTCGACATTTTTGGTTGTATTTAGGAACATACTTGATTAATAGACTCGTGTTAATTTTTATCGTTTGCTAAATATATCGACCATGTTAGTTTTCAACATCCAGGGGTCGGGTGTCCTATGTACAGTTAGCTGGGCCAGCAGAACTATAAGTGTCCGTCATAGAGCAATCGGTGTGGTGGCGTCGCTCTGTTTTTGTTAAGAACATGATGACTAAAAACAACAATTTCAATGATTGGCACGGGCTAGATTTTCACATTCCTCAGCTTCTCCTTAGCCAATTCGAACCTCCACTGGTATCTTCTCACCGGTTCCTCGTTTCTCCCAAAATCACTTGATCTCTTCGTATTAATCATTATACCCTCGACGAACGGTTGATTTCATTCTCTTATGTAGCATTTGCGGCGTAATGTTCACGTAGGTTACGGCGGCGGGGAGTTGGTTTCCAGATTTTCGCTACCAGCATCACGTTTATTTTATCTCTTAACCTTTACAAGATGCAACTTCCAAGCAACGGCTCGTCGGCATGCACTGTAATTTTCCTTTTATCCACATCCACGATCTTTTCTACGTTCTAGGGCAATCCACCTTCAATGAAACGGCTCGGCAGAATTTATTCCGTTGCGTGAATAGCCACTCCTCCCGTGAGTTACAGACACCCTACACTCTGCCAACCTGTCATTTGCTACCTTGTATCTCCAACTTTCGCGTCGGTAATTCTTTCTTCCCTTCAACTGTGTCAATAAAATTCTTCTGAAATCGCCGTAATGCTACATCCCTTGTCTACCAGTGCATCGACCTCAATTCCAAAACAATTGCCCCATAGTATTAAGACATCGATTTTCGTTATGAGTTTCCCTATTCCTCCCTTGATAAATCTTTTGATACCAGTAGCCTCCCCACTACTGGTACTTGCATACTTTCTCCATCTTCGTTTGGAACGTCCCTTCTTCCACCCCAAACGAGCTTAAATTTGTCAAAATCAAGTTAATTTGCGACGATGCTGTCCGTGGTTCTACTTTATTCCCAATTTAAGTGTTACTTTCCAATCCGGATTTTCTCATGCGTATGAAGCTAGTTGCTAATGTATAAGTTCTTTCTTCTTTTCAATCCTGACCAAAGTCGTTCGTGGGACACTCCGCGATAATTAATGTTATTTATTAACTTAAAAATATGCGAATCTTCAGTTTCACCAGGGTTGTGTATGAATTTTATTTCGTGATTTACCTCGAAAATCTGTATTGTCAACGTGGCCGTTTCTGTAATGAAATTACCGGAACTTGGTATTTTTATTTCTCACTATTTATTTAATATTACTTCAAAGCTCTCTATTTTGTTTTTGACATTTATTCTAATTGTTGAACAGTCCTGTAACTCGCAAAAATTTGTTCTTACGGCTTCAATTGTTTCTGATTGTTGCCAATTTTTTCCTCAATACCAACAATGACCACTTGAAGTGTAGTAGTAGAATTAATTATTTTTCAATCTTTTGTTCAGCTGTAATAATTTGTGTATTTACACCGACAAATTCTAATGTGGAATATGCATTGTTTGGCTTACTGTCTGTTCCTGGTCTAACATTTTCCCTTTCATTTCGCATTTCTACAACCGCTTTATGCACTTCATTTTTAATATTTACGAACTCCTGACGAATTTTATTCAACTCAGGGTGGGTTACTTACATCATTCGATTACATTCCTTCACCCGTTGTTGAAAGTATTTTATTACTTTCTCTAGACTCCTTAATAACTTTTATTCTCACTCATTTCGTTTAATTTAGCATTATTCTCCATTAAGTTAAAAATGAATTGGTTTGTATCTACAGCCCTCGCATTACTATCGATTATTTGCGGGGTTGCCGTATCATCTACCGCGCGGACTTGCACCGCCTGCACGTTTTCTTCTGGCCCTGTCTACGTTTGGATTGAAATTTTCCCCATTATTCTCTCTCTCCCACGCGACAAACGCTGTATCTGTATCCTCGTGCTCCACTATCCTTTGTACCGCTTTGCTCCTAGTCTCCATTACGAATAATTACTTTGTCTATTAAAAAATAAAATTGGCTGTCACTCCCGCACGTAAAGTTTATATTGTGTTTATTAATAACAACAAAAATAGCAAAACAATTCCGAATATTAATATTTGCTGTCCATTACTGATTTTGCCTTTAAATTTTCATCTATATCCACTAAATTGTACATTATCCTAAGACCTTGCAATAAATTTTCAAATTTTCTTTATTTTACCGTAGGTAATTTTTCATAAGTGCCTCGCTCCACGCAAAGCGCGCCAATCTGACGGTGATTTCCCCTCGTCCTACTCGGCAATTAGTGTCATAAATACAATACTTTTCATGTGATATTTCTTTATCTATATTATTATCCCCGACAACAGCCCTATTTAAGTACCGAGGTTAATCCGTCTAGATAAATTTATATTTGTCGGTGAGACCGTCTACACAAATTTTTGGGGTTATGAAAAGTTACGTACGAGATGTTTACTTTTATTTGGAATTCGGGCTTTTTCCATACCATTACCAGATAAATAACAATATCTGCTTTAAAGTCAAATAAACATTGTAATTTCTGTACTGATGTAAACATTAACAAACGTATATGACATTTATATACAATACCCTAATTAATTATTACAATAACAACTGTTATCTAATATTTTTCCCGAACTCCTCCCTTTGCCTGTATGGTCATTACTTACTTTAATCTTAATGTAGAATTTATTAATCTAATTTCAAAAACCGGCGTTCATACATTTATCAAATTTATTATACCCCTATGGTAACTTTACTGTTGCGGTCCACTGCCTTCTTGATCGTCATTCCCGGTTTCACTCGAAGTTCCATTTCAGATTAGTCCAGTCCCAATTGTGACATCTTCCTTTCCACGCGCGTTTTCTATTTTGTCCTACTTATTACATTTTCTCCCGAATTAATAATTTACACTATGCTCATCCAACCCTTCAGCAGTTGCTCCGAGCACCGTACCGCCACACCGAAATGATCCAGAACGCGCATGGGACTTCATTTGCGCGCAAGTCGACTCCCCCGATGTCGCCAAAAGAGACAGAGTTGAGTGTCAATCCTACGGCCCCTGTTCTCGCAGCTAGAGGACCCTGCACGGCACTTCGTGAGAGAAAGCATGCGCATCATGACGATCGCCCTCACGCGTGGCTGGCGTGTCGCGGCCCACAACGCCGAAGTCGGGGACCTGTTCGGTTTCCTTCTAGTCGTGGAGCCGCGGTACTACGGCAGGCGGCGGCCGGCCCGTTCTCGACGCCGCGGTGCATCGCGCTGGGCCACCACCGCGCCCGCACAAACATAAACGCGCGCATCACCGCACGCGCCCCGGGCGTCGCGGACGGATTTTCCGCCCCCCGTGTCCCCACGGTACGCCACGCACTTTCCGAAGCACCTGTCATAGGCTGGGATCCGGCTGAGTTCCTCCCTCTATTTGACGAGCTTGTGCCCGTGCTCGACCCTGAGCCACCAGTGTAACCCGAGGACATTCAGGTTGACTGGACTTTCTGGCGGCCCATTCTGACAAAGCTCAGTGCCACAGACGAGCCACAAGAGGACAAGAAGAAAAATGACGACCCCCGAAGAGCAACGGGACGACGATTCCCACGACGTCACAGATGACGCCAGTGTCGCGCCCCGAGCTGCCCCGCGCCCGAGCTTACGCGCGGGGCAACCTCTTCAGTTTCAGGCGCGCTCTCCCCCTCGCGGTGCAGCTCCCACTCTTCACAGAGGGAGTTCATCATGTTCCCCCCGCCACGGCGCCCTGTGTCCGTCGCACAACCTCCAGATGGTTGCTCTGGTAAACTCTGGAGAACATGATAACAGTGAACATCCTTGAAGAAACAGCGGATGTGTCAAATACCCTTTCTTGTTTCCTACTACCCAAGCCGTGGTCCGGCAAGTTTCGGCTCGTCTACAACCTCTCTCCGTAGACCTCGCATTACTGTCACTTATCCAAAGTGTGCCTGCCGTCCCCCCTTGATGTCCTTCGCGACATGCACCAATATGCTTTTGCTGTGCGTATTGATCTACGGGACGGTTTTTATCACGTGCCGATACATCCCGTTACGAGGCATTTATTCGGCATTAAGTACAAAAGCCACGCGTATCCTTTCACAGCGGTACCCATGGGCTGGGCCATGAGCCCGCTGCTCATGCAGACGGCAATGCGCGCCGCTTTGAACCTACTGTGTATCTCGTGTAAATATGTGTATTACGATGGCATTCTTTTACTCTCCGATTCCCCCAGTGTGTTGTGTCAGGACATTAATGCACTTGTTCAAGCGGGCTTCAATATCAATACGGAGAAATCTATTCTACAGCCCACGCAACGGGTCAAGTTAAGTGTGTGGCTAGATTTAATTCAGAAGATGGCATCAGTTTTTTCTAGCCCACCTATTTGCGCGCTATATGCGCAGCCCCCACACGCCGCCTACGCCGTTCCCTTACCGGCATGATTGCATGGCTGTCCATAGCCACCACAGCCTCGCACCCAGTGGCACGAATCGTGTGTTGGTGGCTGCGGCCAGCACCGCCATCTCGACACAGGCACCTCACTCCGCGCATCAGCCTGTGTTGCCGCACAACATCACACATTCTGACATATTCAGACGTTTGTTTTGTGTTCAAGTATTCTTGGGCTCAACTGACGTTTAGTTTGTCCAATGTATGATCTATTGCAATCTGTACAGTTTATTTGATAAAAACGTTAATATCAAATTTCCCTGTAGTATCTTTCAATTTTTTAACTATATGGCTCTTATTTAACTCTATTTACTTGTTAAAATTTGAATTTGGTTAAATTTTTTTAAGAATATTAGAAAAGAACATGTTTGTTGGACAAAGGTGTTTCAAACATTGTATCTTTTCTGAAAACTATCATATCAAAAAGGTTTAAAGAACAATTTGTTTAAAAAACAATTTATTTTAACATTAAAGCATTAAATTTCTGTAAAAATCTATCGATTTGGTTTTGAGGTAGAACAATAAAGGTGTCATCAACATAACGTCTATAAAAAATAAGTTCAGATCACTTACGTCATGTGATTCAAGGTATCTCATCACAATTTCGGAAAGTTTGAGTAATTCCTTAAGGAGGACTACCGATCAGTGTACCCTCGAACTGATGGTAAAGTTTCCCATTAAATTGAAATCCCACATTATTTAAAATAATTCTGAAAATTATAACAACTTCATGTACTAGAATCTTAGAGAAATCATTATAATCAATGAACAATTTTTAAAGCATGAAAGGTTTAAATCATGAGGGATCGAAGGAAATATTGCGACGTCTAATGATACCATTTGTGAATTGGAATCGATTGTAAGTTCTCGCAATTGACTGACAAACTAAAAGCTGTTGTGTAACGAATATTTATAATTATTATTAAAGAAGGGTTTAAATAGTGAATTTAAATATTTACAAAAGGCATAATCAGGAGTACCTATAGAGGATACGACAGGCCACATTGGAAAGTCAGGTTTATGGAATTTTATTAGGCCATAAGCTAACACAATATTAGCTGTTATGGAATAAACCCTGGTGTATTCTTTACTAAAAACAGAATTTAAATTAAAATGCTTATTAAGGCCTGTTATTTAAAAATAGCATAGTAAGCATTTGCATCCCTTCAACCCAGAGCAGCCCGCTTCTGAGATTCTACTTTTATTTACAATACTATCTTAAAAAACACATTTGCTCAACAAATATTACACGCAATCCTACTTCTTAGCGAATACTTTCATACTGAATCCAAGTCCAACTACAGGTATTTACTTAAAAAATACGGAAAACTGGAATAGCTAGACGACCAAGCCGAGAAATAACTCCTGATCTGGCCGTGATCCACCGCTCGGCGACGGATCAATTGCGAGTCAAATTTGATCCGAGTCAAACACGTTGATTCGTGTCAAGTGCGTGGAGAAACGTGCAACGGGATCAAACTGAAGTTGATCCGGATCAACTCGGGATCATCACTTTGATTTCGGTTGGTAAAATCGGCCCGGGTGAGGGCCTGTCGTCACGATGAAATATCTCACATTTCGCGTCTTTCTCAGTCGTGCCGCTTGATATCGCATGATCGCGACCGTATCGAGCAGTGCTGGCGATCATCTTGAAGCACGACCGAGAAAGACGCGAAATGCCGAGTTATTCCATCGTGAAGACAGACCCTGAAGCGCCAATAAATAAACCCCAAGTATAGTACCTGTTCTATAGTACAATATATAAAAGCGGATGGAGCCTATATATTCCACAAGAGGGTATACAAATGATATTTAATTTATATATTTTAAATGGCCCAAGAAATGAACTCCATGATATACGGAATGTGAATAACTGGACGTGTGCTGAATACAGATATGTATTTTTATTATGAATAAACAGTGTATTCTCTTTATTTATTAAAAAATGTGTTCCCCTATTCCTATGTAAGGATGAACCTAAGTGAACAAGTACACTTTTGAATTGAAATTTAGTATTTATTAAAACTCCCTAATATCTTAAAATATTTAATTTTTAAATTACTTTTTTCAACAGTCCCTATTCATAATAAACAAAATATCAGGCAAAATAAAAATTATGCACATTTGGACCGCTTTTATAATTGCTAAGTGGAGTAGTTAACAAGATTTAATAATTTTAGGGTAAGTTACATACCTTGTATTGAATTAAGAAATATATAATTAAAAGATAAAATGTATGAAGAAATATGTACTAATAAAATGTACTGATGAAGCTTAATCATTCCTTTATTAGTTTTGTAGATTTTATATTCTTTACACAGAAATTTACTTGCAACATTCATTGCTGAGCTTTAGTTTCTTTACTTACCACAATGGCAGGAGTATCAAAGAAATTATTATATTCAAGCATGGCACTTACAATCTTAAAACAAATACTGTCAACTTAATATGCCAGGTGGAATTGTCATTAATTTTTAATTTGTAAGTACATTTAATAAAGATTACAATAATTTCTTTTTTTTTCATTAAGATTTTAAGTCATGCAATAAAAGTGAGCATGCATTGTCTCAGAAAACATGTGGGACATGTGAGGAGGGCCTCACATTCTATCCCCTCCCCCCTCTTGAAGCCAACAACACTCAACCACAAATATAGTTTTGTAATAATTTTCTCTTGTAACAAAATTGAATACCTTGGAGAAAATTATAAATCAATGAATAAGAAAATAATAAAATTTAACACATGCAAAATATTCTTCATAAAAAATATCTGGATAGATAAAAAAATAGATGGCTGTCCCTAACACCTGTTCCCTGTAGAGAAATCAAACCACTAAATTACACAACTATAAATTGCTAATAAAGGTTTTACATGCAACTAGGGTCATGAAGTCGTAAAAGAGTTATCACATAAAAGTCCACATTTATTTAAATTATACTTAAACACAAAAAAGTTATGTTGGGCCTTCTTAGGAAAAAAAAAATCTTAAAATTGTTTGTACTATTATTTCTTTGAGATGGCAATATTATTAAACCCTATTGTTTTGTTGGGAGAGCTTGTCTAATCCTGGTAGCTAAAATCATGTATATTCATAATGCATAAGTTTCATATGTTTTATTATGAATGCTGTATACTTGTACAGGATTCTTTTTATCAAAATATTGAACACCACTGAAACAAACATCCCTAAGTTTTAAAACTTCATTCCCAAATGCAAAATTTTTAAGACACAAGTCAACCACAATGTATTCTCAGTAATAAGACTACACACAGGAATGTCATATTAATATTAACTGCGCATAGATCACAATAAATATATTTCAACAATATGTAACACAAAACTGTACACTTCAGTTCAGAGGCCTTTCTTCACCTCTAATTGCACGATACTTGGCCAACTCGTGAGGAAACACATTCCCAAGTTCAACCATTAGATGAGCTTTGAATTTGCGATAAGCATCAATTTTTCCTTTAACTTCTTCATTTTTAGCCAATGCTTTTTCCATACAGTCTTTGGTATACAGTTGTGGATTACGTCCTTGGTCTATGTAACTGAAATAGGATAATGTTAATCGTGTGCAATAATTGAATTATTTACGTGAAATTGAAAAGTTACTTACTCAAATACTTCCAGCGGTATGAGAACTTCTGGCACTTGAGATTTGAGTTTATCAATCTCCTGGAGACCTGCTACCAGTGCTTGTCTACCAAGAAGAATTTATATGTCAAAATCGGTTCATACACAAGTAGAGTTGTCACATTTTTTTCAGTGCAATAAAATATCACTACTCACATTTTTTGATTCAGAACATTTTGTCCTTGTGGTTGAAAATCTCCAACAATAATCCTAATTTGTCTCACATTTTCTATGAACATTTCCAGCTGAGTTTCCAGATTTTCTAGGGATGCGGCCATTTTTCAATAACTGATCACCGAAACAGATGTAAACACCGACCGATGCAATACAACCGAAGACAACCTCGTTCTCAATAAAGTAACCTGGACCACTTATATTTGCTTCTTAAATTAAAAGTATAATTAACTCGCCTAAAATGTGAAACAAATTTTAATGTTTATGACATCTTTTGTATTCAGCTTCAGTAGTAAACTAATGAAATATCAGAATGTAGGAAGGATTTTGAGCAAATTGCTGGGTATCCGGGTCATTTTGCAGCTTCGTTGTGATTTGTTCCCGCACGCGGGCGCCACGCTCTTGCTGACTCGGCTGACTTGTGAATGTTGAGTTTCGTTCGGAGTTGGGAGAGAGGTTAGGCGAGGTTAGGCTAGACAAGGCAGCATACATTGCCTTCGCGGGGAGAAACTCAGGGGCGAAATGTTGTTAAGGGCATTCATTGTGATGTGATTAATTATGGCAATTTGTGATACATCGTAGATTGAGTTATTCGACTCTTTTGACTTGCTGGACGACTTGCACGTCATTTGAAACAAGGACAATTGTAGTCTGCCTTAGATTTATATTTTGTTTATTATGATCTGGGATAATATCCCTTCAATGTAATTCAATATGGAATGTGTGGGTACGTGCTTAAATCTAACAAACTAACCCTATTGATTTTTGTTTTTGTTCATGCCATGAATCGGAGTTTTTCAATTCTCATAATGGTCGTGATAAGCAGACGATCACCCCTAAGTTCGAAGTTCATACATCTGTTTTGTAGTAAAGTAATTAATTAGTGACTTAATGTCATAATTATATTCCATTGTTATTTCGAGTGCAAACATCGAGTTTGTAACATTCTTCATCTAGTTTTGGTTTATGCCAGTTTGATCTATGGTAGTGTAATATTACGTTTCACCAATGCATTTCGTTAATGAATGCAATTGTACTCTAGATTGCTGGCTATTTCAAATGAATAGGCTGTACAGTTCACATGTGATTGGAATTTACTTTCATGGAAGAATATCATGTATGTTTACAGATAACAGTCACTAAAGTAGAGAAATCATTAAATTATCATTCATGACATTTTGATTATTTCACTGTTATAACATACATATATTGTTATATATACTCGTATAAAAGTTTAGTGGAAAAGTTGTAACAAATATTCATTATAGGATCTGACCATGGAGATGCCCATGAAGAACCTGACAAAAGTGGTGACTTATCTGCAAAATGTGATATTGATGCCAGCAAAGAAGTTATTGATTTCAAAGTTGTTTACAACAAGAACAAATATGATGTGTCATTTGCAGTAGATAAGACTATTGGTGAACTAAAAGTTCACCTTGAGGATATAATAGGTATTTTATTTTATGTGCAATATTTTCAGACTGTGTTCTTTTGTCTCCTGTTTAAGTATTACCTTTCCCTCTGTGTTTTTTGAAAGACCTGCTGTGTGGTAAATGATTAGCATATCTACAAAATTTTGTAATGTGCTTAAAATTTACTATCTATATTAACTGTAAAGATCAGCTTTTCTTGAATGAAAACCATTATACTTTTTGCTTATTGAATTGAAATGTTTTATAGTACTCTCATTAAAATGACCATTTTGAAGGGACAGAGTCATAGTCTTGTAGTACGTTAAAAATGCTTTATTTATTTAGTAACAATAGATGTAACATGTGAGAATTTCATCCCCTCTGTTTTCCTTTTTCTTCTCTTCAGAAATTGTTTCTGATTGTCTATACTGTACTACCAATGTTGCTTCTGACACTTCATTGTAGCACCTCTTAAAATGGAAAGACAGTAGCCATTACTGGTCTTGATATTGTACCCAATGTATTCATCTGACATTACATTTTCTTGTTTAAAAAATTACAGAATATTGCTCCAGCCTGCACATTATGTAGTTACATTGAAAGCAGATGAACACTAGATCTTATCTTAGTGTAGAATATTTGCCACCCACATTTACATCTTGATTTCAATTCAATCTTCATTTCCTATCGAGGCATGCAATTTAGTAAGGATTTAATATGTGATTAAAATTTAATTGCATTAATTTCAAATATAATATTTTAAAGATATTGTAAAATATTTTTTTGAGATAGGATTATTTCTTGCAAGTGCTGTTAATAAATAATTCAATCTTTTGACATTGAATGCTTCCAGCTTTTCTAGTATGCATGCTTTAAAGCCTTTAAAACCGTTAACTTGTATAGTTTTCAATTTTCTTGCAGTAATGTATTCGAGCATTTTTTTGTTTTTGGCTAGAAGTTATGAATGAATTGAAAAACTATTGTTTTAGGAGTCCCTCATGCAATGCAAAAAGTAATGATAAAAGGTTTGGCAAAAGATGAACGCACTTTGAGAGATCTTGGTGTTGTTAAAGGTGCAAAAGTCATGGTTGTAGGTTCTAAACTGGATGATGTACTCGCAGTTTCAACACCTAGTAAGCAGGTAAAATACAACAATTGTCGTAAATTGCAAGTAATTTTAATTATTGTAAAAATCATTATAAAATGCTAAATATAGACAGAAAAAAAAATCCATATCATTTTAGTTTGTATTAGAAATGTAAAATAAATTAGAACTTTGTATCCACACTTTGTTGTAATGTTTTTAATAGTTTTAACCAGTACATTTGTTATTATTGTGTCACAAATGCTAATCAATAAAGTTGCTTGTTTTGTGGAGAATCTAGGTTCAAGGTATGTAATTTAAAAAATGGAAGATGCAATGCAGATGTAAAGGATAACAAGTAAATAATTTTTCTAGTATTTTGGGAAGGCATCTTTTGGCTAATATCTATATGCATAAGTGCTAACAGAAATGAAGTAACTTTTCCATTCTTGAATTAATTGGAAAATACAATAGTCGTAATTTTTGTAATTCATCCATTCAAATACTACAAATTATGTTAAGTAGAAAATGCAAGGTTATGATTAATAGTGTTGCTGCATTTATTGTTACAATATTGTGTCAAAGTAGTCTTGCAGTGAACAAGAACTGCAGAAATAGTGTGCTATTTGGGCTCATATTGTTAGTTGAAATTAGTTCCGTTTTATTTTGCAATCACATACTGTTGGTAACAATATAGGTAGGGTTAAAAACAAAAGATGCCGTTCCAAAATACTAGAAAAATTCTTTACTTGCTATACTTTATAATATACTGTATAGTTGGAGATTCTGGATATTTTGTTATAGAAGATAAATGGAATATTTTTATACTTTTGTTTGTACTTGCATAGAAGTTCAAAAATGCTAGCTAGAATTTGAAGCAGAATGGAAATTTTTATAGTACAAAATATTGTTGATTGCAGGATTTTTTGGATGAGAAAGCATCTTCTACTACCAAAGAACCATTTTGCAAACAGAAGCAACATAAGAAAGTTATTGATATAGGTATTCCGGAAGATGTAATGCCAGGCATTAAGAATGCCAAGGTAAGTTCGCTTGTTTTGTTTGTGCCAAATGTAATGGAAGGGAGAACAAACAAATAAATAAATTTGGAAACTTGACTTCTTTTTGATCAATGTGTAATTTTTTAAAAAAAAATTTGTAGGACTCATTGCCCCCATTTCCTCTATCTGGAATGCTTAACAAATCAGGAGGGAAATGGATTAACATTTAAAATGGAACAAGATCAAATATGGATTGGTACCAAAGAACGAACTGACAAGATACCAATGAATACAATTAAAAGTGTTGTTAGTGAGACCTATTTGAAGGACATGAGAGTATCATATAATGGTATCTAGCTTATAAAGTGTAATTTTTAACCAGTCCGTTTCTTTGTGATTTCACAAAATTAATAACATTTTTTCATGTTTGTGGCAGGGTATTCAATTAGGACCAACTGAAGCATCTCGATATTGCGGTGTATTGGGTTCCAGCACTAATACACGATGCTATAAAAGATGCTATTCTTGGGAAGTGGCAATATTTCTGACGACCACAGGCATCTGCAGTATAATTTATGCATGTCTGAAAGATCGGCATGTTTGGTTGGAATCCAGCCAACTGTGTCTTTGCATAATGACTTGCTAAGCTGCATATTATATATGTGTGTGAAATAGAATAATTTGATGGAACTGTTTTATTTTGAAAGTGAATTATATGAAGAGTTAAGAAGTTTGCCATTTATTTGGTTGTCAGCAATCTTAACTACACTATTAAATTTCTATTTCTTTACTTCAAATGTTCTGTTTTTCAAAGCTCCATTTGAAAACACGAGTGAAAAGCAAATGCATTACCTAGTGTCTGTAGTTACAGATGGAGGAGTGCTAATTACAGGGAAATATCACAACGTGCAGATTGAAAAACAGTTGCACATATTTTTTTATTCATATACCTTTATTTCTAACAATTTAATAATTTGTGTTTTTACAATGTGCTGTTAATAAATTTGATAGTACATTGCATAACCTAAGTTTTAATATCAAACCTTTCACTGTAATAAATTGATGTGATTTGTCCTTGTGTGCATTGTATGAATGGAAAAAAAAATTAAGCAAAACTTGATACTACCAAGATAAATTAAAACTGTAAAATAAACATGATTTTGAATTGGAAATTTGTAAAATTAGTCAAGACAATAGAAACTGAAATCAAAAATGACTAGTCCTTGCAGACGTCTGTTGGACACCTTATAAATTCATATTTTCAAAAATGAACCATGGTTTCTCCTTTTTGAAAATATTAACCCTTTTTATAAAGAATTGTTTATATACATATAAAAGTAATTTGATTTCTATCCAGGAAAAACTCTGGTTATGCATTTTCATTCTCATATTTAAAAGGAAGACCACTACGACCTTGACTGGCCTTTTCTACAGCATTCTGCCCCAACTTTTGTTCAAGCCCAACCCAACTTCTTGAAGTCAGAAAGCTACAACCATGAGACTCTGACAAAGCTAATGAATCTAACCCCTTTGAAACAAGAGATGTAGGTGAACCTGTTTCATTGCTTTCAATTAATGTGTTCTGCACATTGCTAGAAACAAGAGACACATTAACCTCATTTTCTTGAATATCATTCTCTTTTACATAGTTATCACAGCCTGGCATAAGTGTTGTGAAATCTGTGACATACTTTTCACTCCATTTATAAGCAGAGTTGAAAGCCAATTCCACTTCATATGGAGTCACAATAGGTTGCAAAAACTCTTTAGAATCCAACAGAGAATTCTCTGCGCAAGAGATCAAGACATATGCATCCATTTCAGGAAAGTTAGCTAATTTAGCTACGTTAATTTTACCAACTGATATTATATAACATTTTATTTCTCTTGGTTTTGTTAAACACTTTATTCGTTCTACTGCTTCCAAGTAACTTTTAACGCCTAATGTTCCAATAAGAATACCAAGATTTCTCACATTTTTAAGACTTTCAATCAGGTACATTCTTTTTTGTAGAAATTTACTGATGTTTACTTTGAAAGGTTCAAATGATGATAATGCTGGATTGTATCTAAAGAATGACTGTCCTGGGAATAAGTACTTAAAATTTGCAATGCAAGGACCATCTGAACCAATGAAAATAATGACATAGTCATTTAATTTTGTTTTTGGAACATTAATAACTCTCCCAAAAAATATGTGTTCAAAATTAAATGAAACCTTTCCATCCATTAAGAGCTCTGATACAATTAAGTTATCAAAACTCTTTTTAAGGTACTGACTAATAGCACAAATTGCATGCTGATAAGAAACATCATAAAGTAATAATATCTTGTCTTCACAAGCGAAAGTGTCATGCATACACATTTTGAACTGTTCAATATCAATATGTTCTTTGTTGAAAATGTACAGAACTGGTATTCTTTCAGAAGGACTCAGGCATGCATGCCCAAAGTGAATTATGCTATCAGCATTCACATGTTGGGCAGCAACTTCATCTACACAACAACTACCATATGATGTATCTCCTAAAATGTATATTTTTTGTTTAAGTTCACTTTCTAACATATGCACTAAACGTGGGGCTTTGTGAATTTGATCTTGTGCAAACTGAACACAAACGCGTTTCAGGCCCTTTTCCGTAATCCATTCAATACATCTTTCTAACTCAAACTCTTTTCTTATAGATTTATCACATTCTGGAGCAGTCACTTCATTTGCAGGTGATTTTTCACTGGGTAATATATCTTTAACTGTGTACATTTTCGTTCCAAAAACGGAACAAATTTCACTTTTATTGGAGAATATGTTACATTAATTAATTGGAGCCTTTTTCTTACGCAGCACTTTATAGTCAGGTCGGTCAATTGCTCTAGCGCAAAATGTCAAATGATAGAAAACGCTGAGTTTCAAATCACTCTTTTTTTTGTTTTACAAAAAACATTCTTGCAGATTCTGAGGCCTGAGGTTAGTAAGAAAATTAAATCAACATTTGGAGTACACTTTCATCGACTATTACAATCATAAAATTAATTACCACTACGCTCTTCATGTGCGAGGGTTCACGGTTCCACACTGTGAAGGACCGAGATCAACGTTTGTTCAACAAACGGTGTTAGGACGCGCACCACATCACACCGTGAACGCACGTGGACCAGCTGCTACCATTGACAACTCGAGTCGTGAGAATTTCAACTGGTGGGTTGGCTAACGCTAGACCGAGCGACTGAACTGTTCGACAAGTCTCAGAGATTATACTACGTTTTATGCAACTGCTCTTGACAGGTATCAGCTGTTCACAGTTTCATGCAATCGGGAACTTGAATGTCACCATTGTAACGTCCGTACTGTGACGTTCAAGGTCCCGATTGGATGAAACTCAACTGCGAAAATCGCAGTATAAAGTACTGTACGCTCAAGTTTTCTTGATATTGCAGAGCTGTAGTGATGGGAGAGGAGAGCTCTGGCTGTCAGCTTAAAAGCACGTACCAACTGTGGACATGAACGGATCACGCCAAAACGATCCACGAGAAATGCTACGATTGTTTTGAAAGTAGGAGGTGATTGTTGCCAGCATTGTAACTTGGTACGTGCCATTCCGAGTCGAACATATGTGTCTCAACGTGCCACACTATTCAGCGCGTTGAGGACTAGGGTGCTCGTGTATCAAAACTTGCGCGAGAAATAGTCATGCACTTGACGTAAATCAGCTGTTGCTGTTTCATCAATCGGCAGCTTAAATGCCGCTTCAGTAACATTCTAGCTCCCGATTGGATGAAACTGTGAACATCTGATATATGTCAAGTACATGGTTAAATACATAGCATATTGTCAGAAGAATTTACTTTGTGCCAAACTTCTTGAGAGTTAGGTGATGATGCTGTCAGTGGTTTCCTAGTCCTATAGAGATGTTCAGAACAAGCATCTTTTAGTAGTTCGGCAGCACTGACACTGGGTTGCAAGCGGGAGGCTGCTATAAGCCGGAGCACCCTCTTTGTCTAGGGCAGGGGTGGCCACTAACCTTATACTGCGATTTTTCTAACTCTACCCCTCCAGGCCTTTTTCGCGTCTTTTTCCATCGGTCCGCTGGGTACCGCATGATCGCGACCGAATATGGCGCGTCCGAGGTTATGAATGAAGTACGGAATTTTATGGCAACAGTGATGTCAGAGTGGCGCTTTTCTGTTGTACAGTATGAATCGAAAGTTACGCGCTCGATCGTGACGACGAATTTCACAATGGCGTTCAGCGCTAGTTAGATGCTAATAAACCTTCCCAATTCTATGAAAGCGTATTTTCTTTCTTTTCCTCAAACCTAAACTATTCCTATGAGACTCCGATACACTGGAAACGTTTCTGTTAAGCTTCTCACGTCCTTTGTACTTCAAAATGTCATTAAGAAATCAAGAAGCAATATTAATTTTAGAGTGCACCACAAGTGATATTTATCANNNNTTTGTGATAAATATATCATGTATTCAATGTATTATTTTGCTAATGTAATTGTTGATATGAAAAACCATGTAAATGAATGTTTAAAACAATTCTGAAATCTGAAAAACAGTGGGATGTTTATTTACCGGAAAAGCCCATAAGGCCCTGTACTTTATTCTTAATCTCGGATGCGCTATACAAGTGCAAGATACAGTCGCGTTCATTCGACATCTTGCGGTACGACGGGGAAGCACGTGAAATTCTGTGACATAATGCAACGCTCTTTAGAATGACAGTTAATTCAAGATGGCGTTGCATAACACCATGAAATATGGCCTTGAGAGGCAGAGTTAGAAATAATAATAATAATAATAATAATAATAATAATAATAATAATAATAATAATAATAATAATAATTTTCATTGTTAAAAACTTACATAAAGCATCAAGAAAAAATAGAAATCAATTAAAATTAAAGTAAGTTGATTTCCTTAACTTTCAGAAAAACGCTGTGTAGTTCTAGGAGCAGCAAACATTCAAAGCGGCCAGTAACCTTAATTTCAGAAGTGGCTAATAAACTGAAAACATATTTTTTATTTTATAACAAATGAAGGAACATTTATTTTTTACACTACGCAGAACATTATTGTTCGGCGGTAGATGAACGAATGCAATTTTACTTTTGAGAAGTACGTTTTTGAGTGTTCATTTTTTGTGTTAGTTTTTTGAAACCTGGCTGATAGTTGGTAAGCGCAGTTCACTTCAGGGTTCATCAGTTGATTCAGATCTATATTTAGATTTAATGAATTTAAGCGTTGAGTACAGTGATTTACACACATAACTAGTGCCAAAGAGTGTGATAAAAAGTCTCTTAACACACTCTTTTGTTAATGGCTATTTTTCTTCTCGAACATTCTTCCAAAATTTTTTTGGTAGAAACACCACTTCATTAGAGTCCTTTCAGACCTTCGTCCACTTGCAGTTGTAGTAGCTCCAACCGTACAGCTGCTTTATCCCTTGCTATTGGTGATGAAACAAGACAGCCCATATCAAAAGCAACGTGATTTTCAATGAATAAAAATGATATTTTAAGTGATCTCTAATCATTAAATCTACCATTAATTTCTTCACCAAGGCCAGACATTTTACTCAAGCGATCTTTAGTTTCCTCCTGAAAGCTAGGAAAACTTTCAGTAATTGTCCTTAAACATTTGAAGTGAGCGTATGTTTTAGTCTGAAGGTCTTTCCCAAGAAGCTTTAACTTGCTATTGAAGCTAAATACAGTCTGGGTCCAAAGCAAAAATAAGTTTTCCTCTTCCTTGGAATGAAATGTTTAGTATTTGTAAATGCTGGTCCACATTAGTAACAAAAGCCAAATCTAACAACCACTGGGGGTTATTAAGTTCAGGGAAAGATTTTCCTTTTCTTCCATAAACTGATTGGATCAAGAAATTCAAAAAAATTCTGCCAAGAACATTGTGTACTGATAGCCACCTCACTAAGCAGTACCAAGATACATAATCAGAATGCTCATCATCGTTCATATCTTCTATAAAAGATTTGAACTGTCGGTGTGTTTTGCCTCTTGCGCGAATACAGTTCACAATGTTTAGAAATACATGCATAATATGCGGGTATTGAAAGTATTTTGTTACTAAATGTTCTCTGTGAATAATACAATATTCACGTAGGGACTCAGGAAATGATGTGTCAAAATCAATCAATTTAAAAGACCAATAAGCCCTTGTTTAGTGCCAGTCATAGATGGCGCTGACAATCTTATCGATAGGCACTGAATTTTTCTGTAAAACGGCATCCATGACTTTTTTCATGTCACAACCACGAATAGTATCCTTTAATGTAATCAGGTTTAAGAGTTCTTCTACCACCTGGAAGGCCATTGACTCGTACCTTACAAATGTGGCTAGGTGTGGTTTATCTTTCATATCAGTAGACTCGTCCAGAGCCACACTTACTGCTGAACACTCACATAGATTTTTTTGTAAATTATTTAAAATATCCGCCCACATAACAAAAACTCGCCTCTCTAGTGTGTGTCGGGCATTTCGATGATAGATATAACTTGTGCCGTGTTCCTCTAAGTAAACCCCGTCTGTGTACGGCGTTTTTGCTTTTGCAATATTAAAAGCCAAGATGAAGCCCGTTTTAGGTGTCAAATCTGCTTCCTTGGTAAACGTTGACAGATCCCTACTCTGATCATGAAGTTTTTCCGTTAGTGATTTCAGTTTGGCTTTTCTTAACAGAACCAACAGGAAATTCTTTATTGAAACCACTGTGGTTAGTGTCATGATGGTGGTTTAGACTACCGACCTTGAACCGTGACAAACTTATTTGACACAAAAGACACAGTGGCTTACCGTTTCTTTCTACAAAAACAATTATTCCTCCTAGTTTGCATTAAAAGCTGAGGCAGCGACGTAATTGTTCAGACACCAGGCTACTACAATGCTAAAAAAAGCAAAAAAAAAAATATAGGCACTACCATTACCCGTTCACTTTACAATTGCAGATGAAGCGCTACGATCTTTACGTGAGATCACTTGAGATAACTACACTGACACTGACACACTCGCGTTCAAAGCGCGAGAGTCTAACAGAAGTCCCAGGAACTATTCTTCCACCCATCACTCACCACTAGAGTTCCTATTCTCTCTCTCTCTTCTCTCTCTCCTCTCTCTCTCTCTCTCTATATATATATATATATATATATATATATATAATATATATATATATATACATACATACATACATAAACATACATTACGTACAAGTATAGGGACTGTTATTCACCAAATGCCAATAAGATCGTTGAACTCAATAACGTAAGTTAAGCCACACATTGCCGCTACTGACTGCCTATTAATTAATTTTACTCTGAACTCAGTGTCAAGAGCCGCATGCGGCTCACGAGCTTCGCTGTGGCCACCCTTGTATATGGATAAAACACGACATAAGTGTCGATTTTATTTTAAAACGTCGTGATCATTCTTCGCTGGAAGTTTTCCTCTGCTACAATGGTTTGAAAACGTTGTATTGCTTGGGTACACTTTCTTGCAGTGAGTTGTTTTTTTTTATTCTCCAAAATAAAGTAATATTTTCACGATAACCAAGTTATTTGATAGTGGACTGGGGCCAAAGGGACCAGGAGAGACATTGTAAGATTCTTTTAGACGCCCTACTGTTCCCAAAAATCAGGAATCTAAAATTATAGCGCCCTCAGAACAAAGAGGACAAAAGTTGATTTGAAGCAAGAAGAGTTAGATGGTTATTTCAAGTCAATAGTAGGTTACAGGTTCTGCCCATCTTC